CAATAAATCCTAACAGAATTAATGATTTTTAAAATTTTAAGCCATATTCGTGATTTGATTATCAAACGTCAGCAATATAAATTATGTACATACATTAGAATTTTGCGTATTTTATTTTTGTTACAATTTTCTACATCGATTTGCAGCCCCGAAAAGAAAAATATTTTCCTTGAAACACATGGGCGCTTGTTTGTCACCAAGGGCTGCATTATGTACAATATTGTTTGCTCCGAAGGGGGTTTCTGTGCAAAGAATAATGGTGCGCGCCATTAAGATATTGGAGTTTTGCATAACGAGGCCCACCCTCGGCGGCGAAAGGGATTCCCGATAATGAAGCGCGGGAACATAAAGCATAAATGGAACGGTGCTAATCTGCACTCAAAATAATGCTCTCCAGCCAGAGCGTCTCGAGTGCACTGCAAAAAGAACCGCATCCGCCTCCCTTTCTCGGCTCCGGGGCCACTTTTGTGTGTCCGTTATTGTCATCCCTTATGGTTATTAATGCACACCAGCGAGCGCCCTGTAGCACTCTCGAGGCGGAGACAAGTGCACGGTGTCCCCGTGTGTGTTTTCTTCATTTAAAAGCATGCACCGCCTGTGCTCAAGGTGTGCGGCGTTCGCCGAGAGTGCCGTGTTGCTTCTCCAAAATCGATGATATCGTGGACTTGGCCGCTCCAAAAACACTCACTCCAAAAATAAGTATGAAAATTAAGCAAAAAACTGACACTTAATAACGAATTTTATGAGAAATTTATATCAATTAAGTACAAAGGTACATTTAAAAAAAGATGTAATTTATTGACCTTTTCAAGACTAAAATTAAATTCCAATTTCGCAGTTAATAAATCGAGCGGAAACTTAATTAAATTAAAATTAATGTTACATTTATTTTCCAAAGTTGCACATTTGACACCACTTAAATCTGAACATTGTTGCGGTAATAAAAATTTAGCCATTAATTTCATCAATAAATTTTCTGAAAAGAATTTGATATTGGCACACAAGAAAATTGACCTTTAATGTCAATTTTGGGAAGATTAACAACTAAATTTAATACAACTATTGAAATGATTGTCATTAATTATTTCTCTGTATCGCCATCAAAATTAATGTTGTTTTTTCAATTTTATTTCGAGATATTTTTCTAATTTCGACATTGAAAACTGGATTATTTCCTGTAATACAAGTACCTGTTATGCGATATTATAAAAATGAAATTGAATATTTAAAAAAGATCTTGAAAAAAATCTATTAAGTGAAAAAGAAGTATCCCTAACTGAAAACATGAAATGGTTTTATTAAATTTTTTTTAACTCTCAAACGTTCTAAAAAAAGATTGTAAATTGAAAGAAATCTAGATAAGTAAAAAAAGATTTGAAATACTTATGAATATTTCTGAATTCTACAAACGTAAATACTTTTTAACAAAAAAATAAATTAATTTAGAGATTGCTGTTAAATAGAGATATTAAAATATTACTTAATTACGCAATTCAAAAACTTGTTGGTGCGCAACATCATGGTTGGTCCATATCATCATGAATGCAACTTGATGAAAGTTTATAATAATCAAAACGAGCCAAGTTAACATACAGGAATGGCCTTTGTTAATTAAGCACCACCTTAAACACGGCGGCGCCACACTTGAGTATGTACGCGTAATTCGGAGTCCATTAATTCGGGGGTCGAATTCGGCTGACGTGCCGCTCTTCTCAAGGCTGCATGTGAGTGAGTGAGTCAGTTTGTTCCGTTGCTGGCGTTCGCCGGTCGATACTCGGTGTCTCGGCCCACCCCACACGTTCACTGCGAGAGCCGGCGGCGGCGGCGGGCGAGCTCGCGCAATTTCCACCCCCGTTCGCCACCACTTGCTTTTATTCAACGCCAGCCAGCCGTCGTCTTAATCTCTCGGCAGGTACATATCTGCCTAAACATGACATCATATGCCCTCTTATTCCAAAAACATCACGGAAATCTCCAAAACACAACTTTGGTTTGAGGACTTGCTTATTTTAAATATTTGATTTTTATGAATTTATTGAGGTTATTACAAAAAAAGCAAAAATTCATGAAATGAATGTTTTAAAATGTGTTTAGCTCCCGCGCCCTCTTTACTCTGCGTTACTTTTTGCCGGCGCCGAGCAGGTCAGACGGAAGCTAATTCAAAAGCGGAAGCTTTGTCGGACTAATTGGCGCTCGAAATTGAACACGCTGAAAGTTGGATAAAGGATGTAGATTTCCCAGTCGGAAAATTACGCCTCAACGCAAGTTTGACGTGAAAGAGGAGCAAAAAGAACGAAATCGCAGAATGGAGCTTTACCTGATAATGCGTTTTAACAAAAGTTTATTCGAACTAGAGATTTGCGCATAATATTATTTGCATTTGTTTTAAGAGGAAAAAATAAACCGTCCTAAATCGAAACACGGGGAAAAAAGAAAAGAGACTTTATGATCGTTTAAAAAAATTTTTTTTTTTTAAATAATTTTTTTTTTAATTATAATATGATGCGAAACGTTTTGGAATTTTCTGTCAAAAAAAGTCAGTACTACTAGTAGAAAACAAGTAGTAAGGAAAATACACGCGGGGGACTCAAATAAAACACTATACGGAGACAACCGCTCTTCCATCCCCGTAATTGAAGCTGACAATGTACGCATTGTGTACGTCCCTTTTTTGCTCACATCACCCGTCAACATTTTTGCTCACGGCAAAATGACGAATTTATACACTGTTCAGACGAGATTACCGCGCACTAAGAGCAAAAAGCGTCCTTTTTGTCATCCCACTGAACACCAAAACGTTTCGTTTACATTATTTCTTTGCAAAGTCTCACATATATCTCGTTGTTTTGCTTTGTGCAACTCGAATCATCGAGCGCTTTTGTTAACAAGCCAACAGCAGTTTATTTTGCACATGGTGAATCAAAAAGATAACCCTCACTTTTGAGATGAAATTTTTACTGCGCTGGCCTTCCATTTACAAGATAAGAGCATTCTTTTTGCACAGAACGGGAGGACGAAATTGTTAATATTAAAGGAAGGACTGGTCGGAAAGAAAATCTCTGTGCGCAGTGGTCCTTTTTAGATGGCCGTCGGCAAAAGCAGTCTGCGGCGCACGCCATGGCATGGAGTACTTTACGTACGCAGGCCCGATGCTTTTGCCAATCTCGTACATTTAATTATTGACGCAGCCAAGACCCGGCGCAGGACATAAAACTTGAATCAAACGCGTGGCGCCGCGAGCGAGACACGCGAAATTCTGAGAAATAATGTGGCGTCTGGGCTGCTTTTGAATAAATGATTCTCTCTTCTCCCAAAAGACACCTTTTTGAATTCATTTTTCAGCCAAGTCGATTTGTGGCAAGTTTGGCAAAGAGCTAAAAATGGGGAAGCGGCACCAAGGGGTTGCGGCACCAAGGGGTTGCGGCCTTTACTCCTTTGCAGCTATAATATTTTCCGCAAAAGATTTTTTTTTCTTTCCAGGATTTTTACACTCCTAGAGAGCAAAGGGAATTTTATTTTGACTTTCAAATACAAAAATAATTTATAAATAAACTTTTTTTTTACCAGCAAGTTAAAACATTTTAAGTGCATAAATTGACGATTCCCAATTTCTGTCATAATCCATCAACAACAGAGATTAATTTAAAAGACATTTTTATACTTACATGTGTATTATGTCTTGCAAAAATCTCTTATAATGCGCTTAAGATTTCAAAAATAAAGATTTCATATTTATTCCAAACTGTTATAAAAAAAACTCTAGAACGTTCTCATTTGTTTTTAATTGTAAAGCTGAAATTGTTCTTACCCTTTTAGCTACTTTATAAATCCAGGGCATGCAGCAATTAAACCTCGGGAGTAAAAACGTCAATTAGTAGCAAAGCACAAAAGAAAAGTGGCCTTCATTAACAAAGCCGAGTGAATACTGAAATAGCGAGAATGCAGCACACAAAAAGAGCATCTCCTCGTGTTGTTGTTGTTGGCTCGAGAGGGTTGCCTAACTTAGTTATGCAACAACGAGGGATGAAAAGAAACAGAGCAAAATAAATCTGCTTCGCCGCACAAGAACTTTTGTCTCGCATCTTCCGGGGGCGGTCGCGAAAAAAAAACTCTCTCGCATTTCTTTTTCACGCTCCGACTCGTTTTTATTGTTTTCGGAACGTTTGCCAGAGAGCGACAAAGAAAAGGGAAAAAAATAAAAAAATGAGAAAAGAGAAGAAAAATGAATGCACATCTCATCCCATAACGCACCACCCAAGAATTTTGGGTCGCCGTTATTAATCAGAAATTTATTTGTCAGAAAACGACCTGAAAATGACATTCTGAAATAGTCACAAGTGACAGGAGACTTGAAAGACGTACCAGAAATTTCCTGATTTTCATTGAAATAGTTTTTTTATTTTTTTTTTTTTTTTATTATGAAGTTCGTGTTTAATGTCAAGTGGCAGGTAATTAGGAAAAGGAATTTATGCACTATCCAAGTCTATTCAAATTACTGCACAGGCACACTGAGAGCAAAAGCGTCATTTCTTGGATTCAACGCAAAACCAAAGTGTTGAAATCAATTTTTTTTTTTATTTCGTTGACATTTCCATATATCTCATTGAATTGAGTTGTTTTGATTTCTGCAACTTCAACAACTTTATAGCAGTTTATTTTGCTCACGTGCAATTAGTGCTTTAATCGCATTTGATCAAGGAAAAATAGCAGACTTGATAACCCCGTAGTGAAAAATAGTGCACTTGAATAATTATATCATTTCAATATTTAATTCTATTGAATTATTATATAATGCTAAAATTCAGAATTTTTTAGTTTTAATACTTATTCTATTTTTAAGCGTACTTAATTAAAACCTCTAAAGAAAACAGCTAACTAATGTGCACTTTATTCACAAAGTTTTTGTGTAAATTATCATCGTGGAGATGATGAAAATAGATTATAAGAGAAAATTACTACAGTCATGCTACTCAAATCTGATAAGTAATCATTTGAAGTGGCAACCTCCGTATAAATTGAATGGTATTGAGGACTTTAAGGAGACATTTGAAAAAAATCTAGTTGGAAAATGAACATTCCAGCATTTGGCTTAATCTTCCTTTGCTTCGGAGCAATTTCCGCTGAAAATGTAAGTCTCCTTTGCAGCTTTTTATTTAATATAATTATTTTCACTTCTTAACAGGGAGTGGTTCCTGCCGATAATAACAATGATTGGGGTGAGTTGTCATGTGAAAATCAATTGGAATTTAAAATGAACAAAGATATATTATACAGACCCCGGCACGTATCACTTGATTGATGGCAAATATTACTTCGTTGATAGATACACTGAGCCCATCAGCACTGCACGGTATTACTGCAGTCGCGCTGGGATGATTCCAATTTCTTTCGAAGACCCAGCGAAACAAGCGATCATTAGCGAGTACTTCATCAATGCTCCGGGTTAGTATTGATCAAAATGTCTAACTAAGAATTTCACTGATTTTCACTTATAGGATTTTATGCTAATCGAGTTTTTTGGACAAATGGTATCAAGCGAAGAGGTTCAAATGAATACATATGGGAGCCTAGCGGCATCCCCTTTGATGATTCACTATGGTCACCGGGATACCCTTTATACATCAATGATACCAAAGAAAGCTGCATTCGGTACAAGCCAAGCAGAGCAAACTTCGTTGACTCAATTTGCGATCCAGCTGTCAATAGGCTTGGAGAGATGTTGTGCGAAGACCCTTAATTAGAATTCATAAGTACAATAATTTTGAAAAAATAAATTTTTTCAACCATTGATAAGGCCTCTTCTTTATTGTATCTTTTCTTTACTCCGAAACTTTTAATTTTGATTTTTGCTAATGCTCTCGATTTATAAAACTCATAAAAAATTTTAATATCAAATAATTGCAGAAAAAAATATTATTTTTGCAAGTTGAATTTTTAATTTGCATTTTATTGGTCTTACTTCCCATTTGAAATCAATACTCAAGGGAATATTTTCAATGGCACTACAAGTTCCTGTAAAGAATAGAATTACATAATGATTTTGTTAATTACAGGGACCTTAAATTTTTACGTGCTTTCTGATAAAACAAATAAAATGCATTTTATTTTCTATTGAATAATTTAATTTTTGGATATAGCAAAAAATTATTTTTGCGACAATAAGGGGGTTCCCGGAATTTAACTTTTCCGCTCTCAAGTACTTTGCGAGAAAGCGAGGAAAATGGGATGGAAATGATATGTAAGCGAGAGAACACCTAGGCGGCTCCGGCGCTGGTCCATTTCGTATGTTCACCCAGTTATTGATTTACTATCTGCCGACGGCAAGCCTTTGATTCTGCTGGCACGCGTGTTGCCTACCTCTCGTCTCATTACGTTTGCAACAGACGTATTGCGACATGCAAAACTTTTTTTATCCTTTTTTTCCGGAAAGTGAGAGGCCGTGATGCTTTTTGTCTCTGCCACGGGCGGTTGGCGAAAATCAATGCGACGCAGACTGTTTCCTGCTCTCGGAATTCGCGGCAGCCCCGAGATTTTTTCTCCTTGTGCTGTGCGCGCGAATGGGTGCTTATCGATTGCTTTTAACAGTTTTCGGCCAACCACCACTTTAGGCCACGTAAATTGCGATGCAGGCCGCTTCGTAAAAATCTCCGTTACATTTGTGAATGACGAGGCCAAAAAGCGCCGCTCCAATGAACTCGAATTTTATCTTATCGGAAGAATAGGTGGTGCGAGCGTCGCATTACTGAGCGAGAAATTAATTAACTGCAAGGCTGTTTTAATAAAACTATTGATAATATTTCTTATATTTTGAAATTATTTACTTAAATTTTTCGCGAAAGAGTCTGGCAAATGGATATTGAAGAACAATTATGCCAATTATTGGCCTGTGATCAAAACAAAAATTTAATAAAATTTATCTGATATTTACTTTGAGTTTATTAAAATTGGTGAACTATTAGTTTAATACTACAGGTATGTAGCAAAAACGTACATAATCTACAGCTGAACTTTTACTTGATTCAGAAACTTCTAATGGACTTTCTAAAAAAATAACTTGTAAACTATTTTTTTTTTAATTGTGTTTTATTTTTCCGTTTTATGACGTTTTAATTGATTTTAAATTGATTCTAGATTTTAATGATAATGTAAATGATTGATATAAATTATATTTTGTGGAAAATTAAGGACTTCTTATTGACATAGTCAAATCAAGTCCTTACAACAATATAAACAGATTTTTGCGATTGTTGAAAGACAATTGGAAATTTTAATCACCATTGTTGTAAAGACTTGATTTGACTATGTCAATAAGGAGTCCTTAATATCTTCCAATAATGTAAATATCTGGTGCCGTTTTGTACAACAGTTCCTTTTTTCTCAAATACATTGTTTTGAAAAAAAGGAATTTTAAGTGTGATGCTATATAATTTGCAAAGCAAAAGATAAACAGCAATAATCGGAATATCATATTTTGCAATTAATTGCGTTAATCCGCATTTTTTATTGTTGTTTATTTGTCTATTGTTACATTACATTGTTTACATACAATTTTTGAAAACAATAATTTTTTTTTTCACATAAAATAATTAGTAATATTTTCTAGATTTAAATATTTCAGTCAAGCAGTCAACATTTTATATGTGCTTAAAACGAGAGTTCCAAGTTTTGAAATAATCCAAAGAAAAAAAGGACTTTCCTTTTTTCTATTTCGTTTTTGTAGCCATCTCATGAAAGGGCTATTACGTACAATCCAATTTCTTATTTCTTTTAACTGTCAGACCTCTGATTCTGAGCGTATAAAGTTCAAAAGACAGCCGCCCACTTCTTTCTATTTCTATCTCTCCGCCGTCCTGTACGCCCTTTTCCAACGGTCATTGTTGCAAATCAATTTTATCTTTTATACCTGGCCGTGTGTCCTCAGAGCTACGGCATCCACTACAAGAGGGAACAAGAGGTCGAGGTGATAACTTACGTTGACTTCGTCGACTACGACGGACCTGCCTTTCGAGCTGGAATGAGAGAAGGTAAGATAAAAAACTTTGACCGGAAAAGAGCAAAAATAAATATTCGCGAGTTGGCATAGGGTGCTTAACTTGGGAGGCCAAAGTTTTTCAATTATATGTTTACGGTTTGCATCGGGTGGGTGTGCGCGCTCTTTTTGCAGCAAATCGATTAGTTTCGCCGGGGCAAGTTCACGCGTTCACTCAATTTGGAGAAAGTTTTCCCGCGAGCTTTACAACGAGCTTTGAATTCCCCGTCCCAAAGTTTTAATTGAGTTCCGTATGTTTGTGTTTGAAATTAATTTTAATTCAATTACTAGTCCTAATCCTTCTTCATAATCAGTACAAAGGAAATAAATTGTGCCAAGTTATTTAATTAATGATAGTCTCATTTTTTCAATTCAAATCAACACAATATGTTCAAAATTTCATGACTATTGAAAATCACCATCGAAAAAAACAGAAACTCCTCTCCTAAGTGTTGAGAAACAGGGATTCATCCAAAGGATTATAAATTTTTTTAGTTAATAGTGATTTAGGAACATCCAAGACGGACTTTAATAAGATTCAAATTAATTGCTTTTGGTTGGAATAGAAAGACTCGGTAAATGGGAGCAGGAGTGTGAATTTCTCAATAGATTTCAGTCACAAAATTTTGTCTATTTTAATATTAAAGAGATTATTAATGGAAATTTTAACTAAAGACATACTGATTTTTTTTATAGCTCATGAAGGGGATTTTTTTAAGAAAAATTGGCACAATGACAAAGACGTCTTTCGAACTTCTTCGATATTGTCCTCTCTCAATAATTTGTCTTTTACCTGTCAGAACTCTTGCCCCACGGGAGCAGTAATTACCGAACTTTTGTCCGGCAGCTCAATAATAGATTGATCATGGAGGGTTGCCGTCGTTACAAAAGGAGGAATTTTGCGCCGAGTCATGGCTCTCTGCAAGCACATTTTCTCTTTCTCTCTCCAATGCGATTATTGAAACCTGTTGCCCTATCACGGGCGCAATTCTCTCTCCGGAGAGGCGACCTAACCTGGTCTGCTCTCTCTTGCCGATTATTAATTATTTTCCCGTGCTCCACAGGGGATGTGATTTTATCAATCAATGGCGTCGATATGGAGAAAGCGGACCACAAAACTCTCGTCTCGTTCATCAAAAACTGTGATTTGCGCATGCGAATGGTTGTGCTCTTTGAAGACTGCGTACGAAAGGTGGGTGTTTTTTCCCCTGCTTGATATGCAAGTTCTACACGTATGTTTTTTATTCCGCAAAAGTACCTCGAACACGCACGTACACGCGCTTGGCAACGAACCAACCACTCGCTTTACACACACGAGCCCTTTATTGTTTTTTACGCAATCAATATCAGCGGCGGCGGCAGCGCAAGGCTCCTTCCTGGGGAGGATTAGTTATGGCGTGGGCGGTAATATTTGCCCCTTGGCAACAATTTATGGCCAAAACGAACGGTGAGAGCGGTCTAGCACTTTGCAAATTGACTTTCCACAGCGAAACATATGTTTTGTTGAAACTAACTTTTTATATTAAACAGGCTTTCAAGGCTATTGTTAAATAGTTTTCAACGGAAGAAAATATTATTTTAAATATAAATTTATTTTATAATTATATTGATTATTAAGAATTATTCCTTTTAATATTATTTCAAAACAAAACAACTTGTGTTTTTGAAGACTGAATAATTATTCTTTTTGAAAATTAAATTTTGCTCATATTAATAAATACAAATCTTGTGTCACAGCACCAGAGATGCATGGTGCGAACAGCACGATGACGTCACGTTTTGATGGTTCCATTTTGCTTTTAATCTATGATTCATTAGTTAAAATTAATTCAACCCATGAGAACTGAACAGATAAATCTGTTCAAATTAATTAATTTTATATATATTCAAATTATAAAAGGCTAATTGTAAATATAGTTAAAAACACTAAAAAAGATGGTTTTGGATTATTTTAAAATTATTTCTAGATTTTCAAAAACATCTTTTGTAGAATATTTTTACTGCTTTCAATTCATGACAGTATAGTTAGTACAAATTGCAGCACTAGAATTAAAAAAAATCAATGATATTAAATAAGGGGCCGTCAATATTTATTGAGATTCAAAATTTGAAAAAATTAAAAAAAGGCTTTTCCCAGTTTTACCTCTAAAAATTGCCCTTTTTGCTAGAGTAGTTTTTACACGAACGTTATGGGTCACTCATAATTTGATTTTACTCGATTCGCAAATATTGAAAGGAAGCGGCTTTTCTATTTATTTTGTCGTTTGAACGCGCTTCGCGTGCTTCCGAGCTGACCTGAAACAACAAAAAGTCGTCGGCTTTTCATTCACATGTGTCAATATGTAGTAAAACAGACATACATCCAATTAGAAGGCAAGTGGCATCGCGAAATCATCAGCTGCTCAAAAGAGTCGCCATGGAAACACCGCGCGCCTCGTCACTCTTCTCTGCGAGACAAAAAATATATAGAAGTCCCTGTGTAAATGGAACATCAATAATTAAGGCCGCCTCACCCAGAATGAAAGAGTCGCGCGGCTTCATTATGCAAATAACCGCGCGCGCTCCAGAGTCTCGCCAATTAATTTTTCATGGCGGAAACGCCGAAAGTTGCCCAACTAACTTTGCTCCATCTATTCTGCACGGATTACCCTCCGGAAAGTGCCGGCGTGACACTTTTCGTCTTTTGCTCGACGATGAATTTTGAATCGGAGCGTAAGCACCAGTAATTTAATTTCAACCTTGTTCAAAAACTCTGTTTCTGCTGACAGAGTCAGTAAATTACTGCGAGTGGGCAGAATTCATAGTTGGTTTTGAAGATATTTGTGCCTCTATCTAATGAAGCATAAAGTACCGTTTGCAGAAAAGATTATAACTGACCATTATTATCTGTCGAATTTTGTTTTCAAAATAAAAGGTGCTTTGTTGGTTCAGCCTTTAGAATTTGCAGTATTTTATATTTATATTTAAAGAAAAAAAGGGAAAAAATAAAAAAAATCTGGAAAAAGTCCCTTTTTTGTTCAATAGATCATTTTTTTTAATCGAATTTTTTCCAGCCGAAAATAGTTTTGTGCTTTATACATTTTGTGCCTCGCATTCATTTTTTTTATTACCTTATCCATAACTCAAATGAAAAAAATTAATCTTTCTACAGCAGTAGAAAAACAAAAATAAAATAAATTCCACGAAAAAAGTAAATGCTTTATTTTTAACCGGGTCGTTAGCACGTCCGTTTTGGTCAGGAACGCTAAAATTTAAAATTAAAAATATAAACGACACCATAAATGGCCAGACAAACATTAATTTCCGCCAGCAATGACGACACACTCATGCGGGGCATACTTGGTATGCAAGGCACCGCATGTCACTTTGGAATGGCTAATTATGCTGTACACGCGAAATACTGCTGACACGTGACCTTGCGAATTCCTCGACAGGACTAAAGTTCTTCGCCCGTCCGTTTCCGCACTATTGCGGTGCAATTTGTGCCGCAGCAGCAACTTGCAATTAACATTCCTTTTGGCCAAATAATGCAAAAGTTTTTGTCATGGACCCAAAGCAATCAAAGTTTTACTTAGTCGAAGTGGTCAAAGTTTCCTTAAAAAAAATAAATAAAATTACACGCTTTGATCAACATTTTACTCAACAATTTCTTCCTCACAGATTGTGAAATTCATAATAAAAATCCTGCTGGAAATAAAAAAAATTTAAAAAGTGGGTAGAACCACGTGCCAACTTATTTCTAAAAATTAATCAATTTTGAATTTTGAATTGAAAACCAAAACCTTTAAAATTTGAGTAAAATGCTGAAAATTTTCTTAATATATATCCCCAATTTCCAATTATTACTCCATCAGAAAAGACTTTCGTGCTGATATATTTCAAATTTTTTTCAGGTTAAAGAAGTAGAAAAGTTTATTTTTTTGACCGCTTTTTTGCAATTTCAATTGAATTCCTGTCTTCTTCTGATGTGGTTTTCTAACAAATTAACAAGAATTTAATTTGAACTGATCATGAGACTCAATGGTTATCAAAGTTATCCTTAGCGTGCCTTAGCATTCATATTAAATTTTTTTACAATATTTTGCTTTACTTAAAAAGTTTCATCCACTTCAAAAGCCAAAATATTAATTAAAAACTTTTTATAAATTTTAATGCTTTAATTTTTTAGTTATCTATCACAAACTGAACTTTTTATAATTTAATTTTACAAATCTTTTTTTTTTTAATTTAGGTTGAGCTACACATGAGATACATCACTCTGCAAAGGCTGCTGACCGAAAGGACGGCCGAGCTGGAGCGGTTGACGGTGAAGGAACGCGAGTTGCTGGCCGGCAAGTGGAAGAGCCACAGTTTGCCAGCAAGGAAAAAAGCCTCTGCGGCTGCCCACGCACCCACGGCCACCACCCTGCTGCACGCAGACCCCTGGCCCACTCAAAGCTCCGACGACCTGTCCAGAACAGCTCAGTATCAAGTATGCGCGCAAATTCAGAAATTGTTATTCCGCTTTGATTCACAAAACCAGCTATAGTGATGAGCACGCAGACGCTCTTATTGATTTATTGGCGCGCCGGCCCATAATGGCATTCTGATCGTATATCGTATAATAAGGCGGTGAAATCTGATTATTTTTCCATTCCGCTGCTTGTTCCACCAATCGCATGCCGGTTGTATAACGAGAATGGGATAACAACCTTTAATGGCAACCAATAAGTTGTTATCGACAGGCTATTTTTGTGACAGCTTGAGCTTTTTATGATAATTTTATGATCAATTATTATATAATTGCCAACAAAAAATTTATTTGTGTATCAATTTGTTCTCATTCTTTATCCTTTTTCTTCTTTTCTGTCTAATTTTATGTGAATCATTTAAAAGTAAAAAGGAATAATTATTGAAATCAATCAAAAAAATTATTTTTAACTTCTGTGATCAAATTTGATTCATATGTGACTTGACTAAATATTTAATTTTATCGACTTTAATCTGTGATACTTAAATTATTAATTTATTAAAATTTGCAAGGGGAAAATGTAAAAAAACCCAATTAATATAAAAATCTTGTTAAATTTCAGTATGCATTGGACGGAGGCTGTCGCTACCTGATGCCAGCCAGGGCCAAGTACGTTCCTCCGGCCAGCTGCAGTGGCAGCGCCGAGTACCTCGACTGGCCGAGCTCAAACTCGATGACCAGCGTTGTCGTGGCTGAACCTGCCGGCAGAGTTCAAGCCACCACTGCGTATGAGGTGTACTATCGGCAGCCAGGAGGATTCTACCTGGTCCCAGCGGCACACCAGGCTCACCTACCTGAACCAATCTACTATCAGCTGCAACCGACTAATCAGGTAATTAATGAAATCCATCAAAAGCGGACAAATTTAAGCATTTATAATTAATAGTAAAATTGAAGTTATTTCATAAATATACCAAAATTAGATAAAATGATTAGTTGATAATTTTTTTTGAAGAAGTGTAAACCTTATTTTAATATTATTACTGTTTTTCAATTAACATATATCTTTTAAAAAGTTCATTTACTCGGATTTTCAAAATAAGTTTCCTAAGTCTGTCTATTCTTGATACAAATATATACAAATGTACAAAATTGGCAACAAATACAAAATAATAAAAAAAAAATTATAATTTTATAAATTAGTGTTTTTCTTTTCTTAAATTTTATATTATCAGAGTAAAAAATTAGTGTTTTTCTTTTCTTAAATTTTATATTATCAAAGTAAAAAATTAGTGTTTTTCTTTTCTCAAATTTTATATTATCAGAGTAAATATTTTTTGAGGTTCTTTAACATTTTGATGAGGATGTAACGCGTGACACTAATTAAAAATTTACACCTCAACAGTTGAGTGGCTCGGCGAGTAGTTCACAAGAGGTGCTGGATGGCGCCGAGAGGAGGAACTCGGGCAACGAGGTGCAGGACGACGGTTCAAACAGCTCCAAAAACAACTCTTGCAACCCTTGTGTGAAGCACAGCAAAGACTGCTCGACTGACACGTACGACCTCAGCAGTCCCTGTTGCGATCCAAGATGCGTGTCCAACAGCAACAGCTCAAAGAGGAAGTCGAAGAAGAACAAAAAGGACGAAAATGTGCAGCAGAACGGCAAACCACCAAAACCGCCAAAGCCCAAAGATTTGAAAGGTGAAAAATATTGAATATTTGCAAATTTTTGTAGAAAAAAATTTAATTCCTTTTTAAGTCGTAAAATCTAGTAAATTCAATTTGATGCATTTTTCTATACCTTGAAAAATAAGGGATCAAATTTTGAGTTTTTTCACCAGGTGGTATTGGCAACTAAAAAGTGACCTATGACATTAGTGTGTCAATAGAAAAGTTATGCAAAAAAATTTGGTCCATTTGGTCTATAAAAGTTAAGAATTTCAATCTTATTGTTAAATTCTGTAAAAAAAGTAAAATGAATTCAAGTTTTTAATCTACTCAAAAACTGCTATTAAATTGAAGGCAATCAGCTTTATTGTTTTTATTATTATCGTTATTATTATTACTTTATTATAATTTTTTTTGTATTTTGCATCCACAAACCCTTCCATCTAACTAGGAAAAAGCAAAAATAATTGAACTTGTTTTTCCGCAGGTTGGAGGGAGAAACTTTACAGAGTGCCTCTGGTGGGCCACGCGGTGCTGTCAGTGACCCAATTTAATCCCGTGCCCAAGAAGCCTCTGCCGACGTCTGCGAGCATGCCGTCCCAGCCGCTGCCCGGACAACAACTGTCCGAGACGTGCACCGCGCGCAAGTACAGCATCACCCCCGCCAGTCACTGCAGCCTCCATTCGTGCGCCTCCAGCGAGATCAGCAGCGCCGAAGACACCACCCTCACCTCGTACTCTACCTCGATCAGCACGGACACCCTGTACTGGGACACGCAGTCCCACCAGCACGTCCAGCACGCCTCTCTCAAGAAGCAACACCAGTCGCCGCAGCAGAGGAACCAGCCACACTACGACCAGGCCGGCACTCCTATTGGGCCACCCTACAAACCCAAGTCCTGGGACAACCTGACCACGAAGGCGTTCGGAGGGTATGGCTTTGGATATGGTTACTCGGACACAGTCAATCAGCAGCAGGCTGCAAGGAACAAAGCAGCACAGAAGGTACTCATTAAATTTTTAAACAAAATTCAAATGTTGAAAGGGTTTAATTTTTATAGCAGACCAAATACGCTCCATTGAGGATTGATTGGGTCTTTTTTGCGTCATTGATTTTTTACCCCAGTTTTCATTCAATTGCTCTAGATAAATTAAAATTTTATACATTGATTTGTATTTAGAATTTAAGACAAGAATAATTATTTTTTGCCAAATTTTATAACTAAGTAAGAACAGCAGTAGACCCGAAACCCTAATGCATTTTTATTACAAATCAAAGTTCCAACTAAATGATTTGCAGAGGTAAATTCCTCTTACATACAGAATTGGCGCTCAAATGCATGATATATCTTAAAATTTATTTTCAGTTTTATTAATTGAATTGCAATATTTGAAGATATTTTTCATTTTTGAACTTGAATACAATATTTACTTAGTAGAACAAACTATAACATCAAGAGCAACATTGTATAACACTTTTGAACTTCTATTATGAATTATGTTTGACGCCGACGGCCTTCAGCACTTAAAAAAATTTTAAAATCAATAAAAAAAATTATTTATATTAAATATCAATACATGTTTCTTTTAAAGATAAAATAAACTGATACAAATATTTAATAAAATTTAAATATAAAAAAATGGTATTGTTTGAATATTATGTAAAAAGTAAATACATAATACTTTTCTATTTTTAATAAAAAAAAAAAATTTTTTTTAACAACTTTTAATAAAACATTAACAAAAATTGTCAATTTTTTACCATCCAATTTTTCCCACTTAGCATGAGAATATCCCCATTAATTTTTTGTTCAATTGACTAAAATTTTACAATTTTTGTTTTTTATTAAAGACAAAACTCCTTGAAATTGAGAACCGGGGTCTAATTCTGTGGGAGGAATATTAAAATTTATCATTCAATTTCACCCTTCCAGAATAAGACCTCCAGCCTTAAATTATTTATAACTTAAAACTGATTATTGTGATTTAAATAAAAATGATATCATTAATTTTGTTTTCAATATAATGGAAATTTAACTTTGCTTTCTGTACTATATTAGTTGGTAACAAACAACTTTATAATTTTTTATTTTGTTTTCAGGCGGCCTACAAGAGTGCGCTTCAGCAGCAGTACGAACAACAGCAGTACAACATGCTGCAGCGTCTGCAAGGTGCACCCTACGTTTTGCAGCAAAGGGCACCAACACCCTCATCCAATCCAGGTGCCAAGTCAACGGAAAATCTCATCTCGGGCAGTGCGACTCCCGGCGGTGGAACTTTTGAGTCAAGTCTGAGTTGTGAGTGTCTGGAGGCAGGGGCCGTCGGTTCGCCTCTGCAGGAGAATCCGCCGTCGCACTTTCTGAACAACTCGGTGCAGAGGAAGTCCATCGACAGCATCTTCTACAACTCTCAGCCGGTGGTGAGCAACACGCCGCCAATGCTGAGCCGCAACAGCAGCATCGAGCGAACCAACGAATCCAAAAGTCGGCCGCCGTCGATGGTCGAAAAGTCCGAGGTCACCCGCTTATGAAAAGAGGAAAGCTAGGCCGCAATTTTTAGCCAAAGATTTATTTGATCTCCTGCGCTGTAGTTGAGGATGTACAAAGTCAGAGAGTGACTTTAGCAACTTTTGACCCCATGGTTATGGTTTTTTTCTCTCATTCTTGTGATGATTGCTCATGAGATAAAAGACAGTCATTTTATATTAATTTTTTGCAAATTATTTTTCTACCTTGCAGATATACCTTTCCATGCTTTTTTAGTCCTTGTAAGTCCCACAATATTAACTTTGTAGAAAATAATTCTTGTAGAGGAAATTTATTTTTTCCAATAATGCAATTCAATTTAATTATAGTCAATTTATATAAACATGCCCAATTTCTAAATTTTTCTTGTATTTCCCAGAAATCTATGAAATACAAATTAATTGATTCAAATTCATATTTGAGTATAAATAGTCGTGTGCATTTTTATTACAAAATTTTAAGTTTCAATTGGCAAAATGATGTGATGATCAAAATTATGTAAGAAAAAGCATTGTTGTAGATGAAAATTAAGAATGATAATTCTAACTAAAAATGTATGATCATATCAAAATCCAAAAATAATTTAGTAAAATCTGGAATGAAGTTGGAATTACTAAATACATCGTGTATAAAAATTGTAAGTGATGTCTGTGATGTTTTATAGTTACAAAACATGTCAAAATGAAATGTTTAGGAAGCGTTTATACCTTCAAGATTGATTGATAATATAAAATTTAAATAAAGATGATAGATTGTCAATAATAATTTTTCAATATACTTCAAAAATTTCAATCTGCAAGTTTTTTGGAATAATGAATCTGAAGAAGTTTAAAGAATACTTTTCAGAGTTAGTGTTTTACTGGATATGAAATTTGCGCTCTCATTTTGTAATTAATTTTTGGTGAGGTTGAATAAATTCAACTGGAATTTGTATAGTTCTCAAATTTTGTTTGCAGCATCATTGTTGAATGAAGACAACAGTGAAATAAAACTCATCAACGGATACACCTGCGAGTTTGATTTATCAAGTCAATATAATGAAAAAAAATATTCTTCCACAGTTTTTACTAAACGCAATTACGCATAATATGAGTAAATTTGTTAATTCTTGGTGATTTAATTCTTACCAAACTCATTCTGACACCAGTAGATATAATCCAATGTCATTGAATTAAGTTATTCTAATTTTAAATAAAATTGACGAAGCTATGATATTTTTGAAAGGATTTGATTTCGTCAATATTTTAATATTTTTCCCGATTTTTCCTCTAAAAAAAGAGTTTTTTTCTTCTTCTTATAGTTCATCTCTATGCTGTGCAAGTGTGCATGCATCAGTACGTCAGCCACTTTCGCGCCACTCGAGTTGGCGCGGCCGAGTGGAGAATCGTTGCGTCGCTGTTTCCTCGAGCACGCATGCGCAGGCGCCACCAACGACCAACGTGTAGTTCTTTTCCGGTGACCCCACGAACATGGTGAGTAAAGCCGCAAGACATTCCGAATAATCCGCAATCATCAGTGAAACCGGTCGAATTTTTTATTTTCGGGTTCAACCGAAATGTTCTTGGATATTCTTTTTGCCGTTATCGCCCCGTATTTTGGGCCGTGCGAGTTTATTTCAAGGTGAAACTGGGTCCGAAAGTACCTGTCAATCCACGCCTGGCTCACGCTCTACGTAAACAAATTCGGCCAGCGTGTTTTTCTAAACTTTTTCCTCTTTGGTTCGATTTACGGTTTAATTTTCGCTTGGGAATTTACGGAAAGAACTTTAAATTTGTTCGTTTTGCTAAAAGATCGCCTGGATAGAATTTTTTGAGCAGTTGTTTACATACCACGGCGTTAAGGCTTTCCCTCAATTTCGGGCAAAATACCTTCCCAAAAGCGCCACGGAATGCAATTTTTCATTCCGAGGTCGTCATCGGCGAAGGAAATTAAAATAAATCGGTTCTAGGTGAGGTTTCAATGTCTAATCATCATTTTTATCCTCAATCCGGACCGAAACAAATATTCCGAAAACTGCATTTTACGCTTTCTATTTGTATCTATTTTCTTATGCATTAATTTTTTGTGCGTAATTTTAGGCTCGTGGTCCGAAGAAGCACTTGAAGCGTTTGAATGCGCCCAAGGCATGGATGCTGGACAAGCTGGGCGGCGTTTACGCCCCCAGGCCCAGCACCGGCCCCCACAAGCTGCGCGAGTCGCTGCCCCTCGTCATTTTCCTGAGGAACAGGCTCAAGTACGCGCTGACCAAGTCTGAGGTGACCAAGATCGTCATGCAGAGACACATCAAGGTGGACGGAAAAGTGCGCACCGACCCCAACTACCCTGCTGGTTTCATGGGTGAGAAATTTAGGCAATTTTAATCTAGCCGATTATTTACTGTGCGTTTGTGAATTTTAGATGTTGTCACTATTGAAAAGACTGGCGAATTTTTCCGCCTGATCTACGACGTGAAAGGACGCTTCACCATCCACCGCATTACTGCCGAAGAGGCCAAGGTAAATTTACTGAAAATTACTACAACTTGCAATTCTGGATTTCTCAAGTAAATATGGGTCCAGATTAGCAAGTTTACCTCACTTCCCAAAAGCGCCACGGAATGCTAATTTACATTCTGAGGTCGTCATCGGTGAAGTAAATTAAAATGTCAGTTCTAGGTGAGGTTTCAATGTCTAATTATCATTTTTATCCTCAATCCGGACTGAAACAAATTAATTAAATCAGATTTCATTTTAATCATAATCCTTTAAACCTGGTCTAATAAATTTATTCTTATTTTATAGTACAAGTTGTGCAAGGTGAAGAGGGTGCAGACGGGCCCCAAAGGCATTCCCTTCCTTGTGACCCATGACGGCCGCACCATCAGATACCCCGACCCCATCATCAAGGTCAACGACACCATCCAGTTGGAAATTGCCACTTCCAAAATCATGGATAGCATCAAATTTGACTCAGGTGATTATTTTCTTCAAATAAAAAAAAAAAAATTTTGGCTCTATCGAAGCTCGTTAGGATTTATTAAAGTCCTAAAGAGTCAAAGTGCAGCCTAAAGCAACAATCCGTTCATAAGGTCGTCGTTTTGATATTTTTTCATAATGGCATTACCCAGAGGGGATACATTTTTTTCTCAAAATCTAAATGATTTTTCAAAAGTATTCTCAGCTATCATATTAATGAATTTTTTTCCTCCTCAGGCAACTTGTGCATGATCACAGGAGGCTGTAACTTGGGGCGAGTTGGCGCCATCGTCAACCGGGAAAGACATCCAGGATCCTTCGACATTGTTCACATCAAGGATTCCCAAGGACATACTTTTGCCACTAGGTAAATTTTCCTAAAGTTGATTTATTGAAAGTCAAAACTAAATTGTTTTTTAATGTATTTCAGATTGCATAACGTTTTCGTCATTGGCAAGGGCAGCAAAGCGTACGTGTCGCTGCCCAAGGGCAAGGGCGTCAAGCTCAGCATTGCGGAAGAGCGCGACAAAAGGCTTGCAGCAAAATCTTCGTAAGCAATGCCTTCCCTTTGTTTGTAAGCCTATGTCAATAAAGCTGAGCATGTCTCTCATTTTATGGAATATTTTTTCAAAAAATCACTGTTAACTTGTTGTTTATAAAAGTTTGACTAGGATTGGGCTGAATATTAAAAGTGCAAGAAAATATTTATTCCTTTAAGTCATTTTTTTATATCTAGGCTTTTTTTAGTATTAATTAATTATTTAAAAGATATAATAGTTTCTGAAATTAATTCGGTTTCTTTTGATCACAAATATATTTATTTTGACATTTAATATTTATATAATTTAAATTGTACAGCTTGATAAGAGACTAGAATAGTTAAAGAAAGTTGTATTAATTTACAAAGAGTCTTCAGTGTCAGTGCCACATAAGGTTTGGCGAGGACCAGAATGCCTGGCTTTTAAGTGTCTCTCGAGGTCCCTGCGTCTGACAAGCACCTTTCCACACTCGTCACATTTGTAGGGAGTTTCTCCTTCGGCGTGCAATCTAACATGTTTGTTTAGGTTGCTCGGATCACCAAAGGGCCGAAGACAGTATTTGCAGTTCAGAGGCTTGTAGCCAGTGTGCGTTCTACAAAAAAATTAAATTGTTAATTTCATCTTTAATTTCAATTCAACAGTTGCATACCTAATGTGAATTTTCAGTCCGTATTTTCTTGAGTAGATTTTGCCACAGTAAAGGCAGACGTGTCCCTTTTTGGACTTTCCGAGGCTGGAAACAAGGCTTTCCATGCGGGCGTGGTGAGCGGAAAGGTCGGTCGGGATCGCTGCTGGTGGAGGCGGCGGAGGTCTGACTAGCATGGATGGTGCTCTGATCCATGGGGTGAAGGCTGATGGGGTTGGCATGTGCAAGGGCACGGCTCCAAAAGTCTCAGCAGGAGCTGATAGGGATGTGATGAGGCGGCGCCACAGGTCATCTTCAGATCCGTCGGCGCCACAGTCAAGCGCCAAGTGCACCTTCAAAGGGTTTGGAGCTTCGAACAGAGCGCCGCACTCGTGGCACACATACCGCCTTTCACCTAAAAGAAAAAACAGCAATATATTTCAATTCAAAATTTATTAACTTGAATTTTTTTTTTATAAAATTTCTATTTCCAGAAAAGCCAAAAAGGAACAAATTAATTTAATGGCTTTTTTTTAAAATTATTTTAAAGAAACCGATGTATTATTATTAATTAAATTGGATTTTATTCTCCTTAACCTTTTAATACAAATAATTTTAAAAAAAGCAAAGAAATTTATATACAAACCTTGGATGTTTGCCGGGTTTAGGTAGGACGGAATTCTAAGGGCGGCCAAGAGCTCTTCGGAAAACCAAAGTTGGAGTTCGTCACCTGCCGAAATTGGTCTGACGGCGCGCAAAGCCACGCAACCCTTTCGCCGGCCGCGCTGGATACGCACGTTGCCCATGTGACAATCAGGAGCCAACCTGGCGGCCCTGATCCAACCTTTGGATGCGTCAAGTGCGGTTGTGTCAAAACGGCCGGAGCCCGTCAACTTAACAAAAGTCTGGAAATAATGTATTGAATAAAATTAATCATTTAATTACCTGTTTGTTTTTAATAAAAAAAAAATTGTGAATTCTTTTTATTGCTGTTTTTAAGGTTTTATGAGAAATATAAAAACTGCTTATTCAAACTTACAAAAATCATAATTAATCATCCCTCTGGTTCTACTATAAGAAAATAATCAAATTTTTATTTTGCTTTAAGTCAATATCTTCTATTAATGATTTTACTATGATTTTATTTTTTTAATGAAATTCTAATAAATACAAATTTAACAATTAATATAAGTTTATTCATTCAACAATTAAATCAGTTAAATCACTCACCAATTTCGTAATGGGCGATTTCAGCTCTGCAACCTCGACGTCTACAGAAAAGATGTCGACAGGGATGTCCGAGTCTGCCAGCAGCCGCCCCGGCGTTGACCTCTCTTTCGAGTGTTTCCACATTTTATATTTCCCGTCCGGACTGATCGCGAGGAATGAAGTGTCCACCTCGGCACTTTGGCCCTTTAAATGCCCTCGTCCCGCACTGACTCCACCCAGGCAGGGGGTGGTGTTTTCGGTTTTTGGGGGTGGTGGGCCACTAGATATGAAAAAGCTGCAGACAACACGTGGTTGCGGCGGCGGGCAGGGGCAAGTGCAAGCGTGGTTTGCTGCTTGTATGACAAGTGCATCCGATCCGCGCTGAATGGCTATTAGTGAAAGGTGGCTCTCCCGAATCATATAGGGGGATGCGCATTTAATTTCGTATTACCAGGGGGAGGAGATGGGGTGTGCTCTGTGGCTTTTTGTGTTTGGCTCAAAGTTGTCGTCAGATGATGTATTTCTCATTTAATATATATTTGAGTTTTGGGGAGTTTGGTGTTGCGGTTGTAGAACATATAAATGGAAAATTAAATTGGTTGTTATTTAATTTCTATTATCTGAACTATAAGTGAGAGAACATGTTGAATTTAACAAATGAATTTACAACGTTTGATTACTTCTTGGTTTGATTCTTTTTGAGAAGAATTTTTATACAATTATTTTATGATAAATATTCAGAATAATGAGAAAACCAACGAAACAAATAAATCTTGCTTAATTTTTTTGGACTTTGGGGAGAAGAATTATTTTGCAATTGACTGATTTGTTTAGCAAAATCCATGCTAGTGGCGGGATTCTTCATTCCTTTGACTAATGTATGTTAATTTTTAAATTAAAATAAAAAATAAAATTCTAAATAATAAATTAAGCGGCTCATCGGGGCGGATTAAGTATTTTTGATGTCAAAATTTTAGGCAAAATCTTTGCTACTGGCGGTGCATTTTTTCTTCTTGAATAAAATTTTTGTAACAATTTGGACTATGTAACAAGCAAAATGATTACATAGAGAATAATATTGGATATATCTTGATAAACATCATTAATTATGAATATCAGTGAAGGCATTTAAAGTAGTGACGCCACAACTATATTGAGATTTATCAATGAACTATTAATTGAATGATTGATTGGTGATTTTTTATTTAGTATATAAAAGTTTGTTTGCGGAAAAAAACTTTTGAATTGAATTTGATTATCTTTAAATAATCAATTTAGAAGAATAAATAATAATAATAATAATTTTAAAAACAAATAGTCATTAAAAAAAATAATAAACTTATAATGTATTATAAAAATTGAAACTTGTATATCTTGTTATAAAAGAAATTATAAAGTTAATTGTTTATATTTGTAACAATAAAAACTCTTTGTTAACTATGACTATGAAATAATATTTAAAAAATTATGGAAAGCCTTCCTTTTTACCGAAAGCTGCGGCAATTTTGCTAATCACCGTGATCGAATCTGCACGTCTCGCGACAATAAATAAAACCACTGTATGATGGATTCGATTTCTATTATCGCCTCGATGCGATCGCGTAATATTGCGACGGACTCCCCGTGTATATTTATTATTGCAATCGGCACCCCTCGTCGTCGCATTCGTCAAAAATTAACATAAGCACGAGCTTTTGACATTATTGTGCGGTTGTGTCCGGGCAGCTGACTCCGAGCTCATTGGTCACAGCAAAATGGATTTTGATGCCGCAAATAAATTCGTCACGCCGCCAAAGTTGCAGACGAAATGATGTGGATAAATAATATATATGGGCCTGTCACCTGCCATACCGCCTTTGTTGCACTCCTCCTGCTAATCTTGTCGATTCAATAAAAATTAGGGTTGTTTCAATGAAACCAGTGAGAGGTGCATACAATTCAAGTTTATTTAATTCAATGTCGTATCAACGGTATAATATCACGTCACGGTCGGATTTAATTCCAAATTTTTACAATTTTATATGTTCACAATGCCTTATTATAATTTTAAAAGCAGTACCTTTCTCTTCATAATAAATTTACAGTTATTTTGGAGCAAATTTTAGGAATCAATTTACAATTAACTTTTTGGTAATTATTTTTCCGAGTGTAATTTAGAAAGGAAAATAATCCTTTAACTCAATTACACAATTTTTTTTTTTTTATTTTCTGCAGAGTATTATATTATAATTTAATCACATTGAACTCTACTTCAAAAATCCAGTTATATATAATTAAATTTTTTTAATATGTTGAAAACAAATGAAACTAAATTTTATTGTACACAATTAAACAGAGTCTACCAAGAAGAGTAAATTGTTGAAAAAAAGCACTGCAAGATTTTCAATTTTGGAATTTAATAACCTTTGTCCACACGGGGATCCTCCAGATTACCGAGAATATATCATGAAGTATTCTTCCTTTTTACATGTTGTAAAACGGCGCAGTATATCCCGTAAAACGCGAAATATAAAGAACTAACCATAATGAACAATTGCACAAAATATTCAAGGAATATATAAGAAATCTGATTTGAAAAATTTAATATTTAAGATGGAATTGAATTTCAATAACAGGGCATGAAAACATTAACAGATCCAAGTGGATTAAAAATTGTTTCTATTTTAGAATATTATATATTACACGCTCTCTCTTCTTCTGAAAATTAAAATTGTCCATTCTTAGCAACCCTTGAATTTTAAAAAAATGCATGGAATTGAATTAGGTATAGTTAGAAAAGTGATCATTAAAATTAATCCAGTTGATAAATTCTAAAATAATCTAGTCTATAAAAATACACGTTTAACAAAGATCTTATTTCTGCTTAATTATTTTTTTTTTCAATTAAAAAAATTGATATGCTTTGTTATTTTAGAGATTATATATAGTGTTTCTGTTGAATCGAACGTTTAATGTGTGGGCAATTTAATGGAACTTCTAAATTGCAATCAAATGAGTGAAGAGAGATTTTGGTCCTTTACTGTCGTGGCAAGTTATAGTAGTAGTTGTACCTCAGAGAAAATTTTTTTAATGGTTTACGCGCTAGTGGTCCTAATAGAGAGTTAGATGAAGATAGAGATGTCTCGTTTCGCCCCCGCGATGTCAAAGAACACCTGAAACAGAGAGAGGCGCAAAATTGATGGTTTGTGTTATAATCGAGGAGAAAAAGTCGTCTGCACTCATTAAGGGGTTATTGTTTGGTAAACTGAGCTGCAGTGACCCCTCGCAGGGATATCAATGAACGGGAGAGCGCGGCCAGCACCACCCCTGGCGAGCCAGCAGCCACCCCTTGTGTCATCAGCTGGCGCGTTCCCATATACACACATAGTGATTGTACAGAATTGTTAGACCCACTGGCACAGTTTGAGTGACGGGCCCCTTTTTAATTTTTAAAACGCTTCACATTCAATTGAAATTTCAATGGAAACTGGAAAACATTATAATTTCAAATTAATGCAGAGAAATTCAAAACAACAATTTGAAATTATATAAAGAATAATATTTATTAATTTGCCATGCCATATATATTACCGCTATATCTATATTTTAATTTCTATTGTTCTTACGCATACAAGAAGAAAAGAACAAAGGCGCTTGCCAAACCGAGTCAATATTGAAAGTTGGATTCCTGTTAAAGATCATGAATTAATTTTTTTTTCATTCAACCGCAATATTTTTTTTCTAGTTTTTATTATTCTGTTGCTTTAAAGAGCTTCAATCAACCGAGCTGGCGAAACCGAGTCAATATTGAAAGTTGGATTCTTCGTGAAAATCATAATTTAATTTTTTTTTTATTCTACCGCTATATTTTTTCAGATTTTTATAATTCTTGAGCATTAATGAATGAACTTTAATGTAACGCGCTGGCCCAACCGGGTCGCGATATTCCAAACCCCACATCAATTGGGCGCATTGTGTAGAATTTGCGCTCAAATTCAAATTTTCCCCAATCAGAAGCTCTCCAATGCAGGTATCTGGGACTGCACCATTTTTACAAAAAAGAAAACTGCAAGTGCGCCCCACTTGCACGTTGAAGCAAAACTGTGATTAAAACTATTCAAATTTATTATTTTCAAAAATTTTCTTTGATTAAATTACCGTAAATTATTAATTTTTCTGATGATGCATATCTAGACATGCAGAGAAAATATATATCTTTTTGAAATTAAAATTGCAATAGAAGTGACGAAAAATATTATATAATATATGATAAGATATTGTAAGATTCTTCTAATATTTCAAACTAGAATGCTATTGATATCAGCAAGTATTTTGCAAAAATATTTATTTACACCATTCGACTGAGGAAATATTTATCGACATCATTCAAAAGCAGAAATATTTATTTACATCATTCAAATGTAGAAGTATTTTTCAACATGAGACGAATGTAGAACTAGATTTCAACATCAAGTCAATGTAGAACTATATTTCGATATCAAGTCCATGTAGAACTATATTTCGACATCATGTCAAATGTAGAACTATATTTCGACATCAAGTCAAATGTAGAACTATATTTCGACATCAAGTCAAATGTAGAACTATATTTCGACATCATGTCAAATGTAGAACTATATTTCGACATCATGTCAAATGTAGAACTATATTTCGACATCATGTCAAATGTAGAACTATATTTCGACATCAAGTCAAATGTAGAACTATATTTCGACATCATGTAAAATGTAGAACTATATTTCGACATCAAGTCCATGTAGAGCTATATTTCGACATCAAGTCAAATGTAGAACTATATTTCGACATCAAGTCAAATGTAGAACTATATTTCGACATCAAGTCAAATGTAGAACTATATTTCGACATCATGTCAAATGTAGAACTATATTTCGACATCATGTCAAATGTAGAACTATATTTCGACATCATGTCAAATGTAGAACTATATTTCGACATCATGTCAAATGTAGAACTATATTTCGACATCAAGTCAAATGTAGAACTATATTTCGACATCATGTCAAATGTAGAACTATATTTCGACATCATGTCAAATGTAGAACTATATTTCGACATCAAGTCAAATGTAGAACTATATTTCGACATCAAGTCAAATGTAGAACTATATTTCGACATCATGTCAAATGTAGAACTATATTTCGACATCAAGTCAAATGTAGAACTATATTTCGACATCATGTCAAATGTAGAACTATATTTCGACATCAAGTCAAATGTAGAACTATATTTCGACATCATGTCAAATGTAGAACTATATTTCGACATCAAGTCCATGTAGAACTATATTTCGACATCATGTCAAATGTAGAACTATATTTCGACATCAAGTCAAATGTAGAACTATATTTCGACATCATGTCAAATGTAGAACTATATTTCGACATCATGTCAAATGTAGAACTATATTTCGACATCAAGTCAAATGTAGAACTATATTTCGACATCAAGTCAAATGTAGAACTATATTTCGACATCAAGTCAAATGTAGAACTATATTTCGTCTTAAGACGAATGTAGAACTATATTTCAACATAAGACGAATGTAGAACTATTTTTCAACTTCAGACACATTTTGAATGATATAATTAAATCGATTTGGAACAATTGAATTATGATCAAATGCAAATGCACGTGTATTGTTAAGTCAACAATTGAATATCTTTTATATTTTGGCTAAGTAAGAACGCTTTATATGGATAGTTTTTGTACTAGAATGTTTTTTTATTTAATTTTTAATGAAATACTTTACTCAGTTTCAATATTAGCTCAAAAAGATATTTGCATTTCAATTCTATCGCTTTCTTGACTAGTTTTTCATGATCACACTATGGAAGATTTGAATTTGAGCTTTGAGTGCGAAGTCAACACAATGCGCCCAATTGATGTGGGGTTCGGAATATCGCAACCGGGTCAATATTGAAAGTTGGATTCTTGTTTGAATTCATGAATTTTATTTTTTTTTTCATTATTACGTTATGAAATTTTCCTTCAATTAAATCAATATTAGTGTCATTTGTATTTATTGCCGTTTTTTTACTTCATTGTTTTAAATTTTTATCTTGAAGTAAACAAAAAGCCTGTATTTCCTCTGCACAAAAAAATACTTAATTTAAATATGGGTGGCCCATGGTGGCTTTTAAACTTCCAGATTAAAAATTTCTGGCGGATGATTGACACATGCCTCTCTTTGTATCTGGCGAGCAGAGCCACTTTTGAAAACCAGATCTAATCGAGTTGGAAGCTAAGCCGCCGCCATTGAATTATGATTATGATAATGCCACGCATCGCGTTTTGCTCGGTGCAGCGGCGGCGGCGGACAAAATCGCAGAAAAAGAAACAAAGAGCAAACGAAACGCCGCAGCTGCGAACCAACCCCTGCCTGCCGAAGAGTGGGTATGCAGGGTGGATGCATGTGTGCCGTATAATAATCCTGACGAACAGCATCCCCTTGATTGCACCTCCGAATTAGTCTCGGTGCGGTGCTGGCTGCGCGCGCGCGTGACTCACTTTTCTATTATCATTTTATATTATATGTTGCGTTTGTATCGCGAATGAATTACTCCGAGAGTGCGGCAAGTGTTTCCGAGAATAAAAGAGTCATTTGAATTTTTCGTAGAGCTCCATGACGAAAAATTTTCAACTTAATCATTGGTTTATTATGATTATAATATCAAATTATTGTTTGTAAAGGCAGAGTTTCAAAAATGAATATATAAATTAAAAATTAATTATTCTTGAGAGAAATATTAACAATACTAGAATCTTAAATAATCTGCGAACGTCCGGAGGTCTACAGAGCTCGTGTGTGCTATTTAATAATTACTGAAGGCATCACTGGAAAGTTTATTTAAAATATGAGTGTAAAGATTTGCAAAAAAAGTAAATATGCAAAGCTCTATACTTTCTAAAATGATGTGATTAAAACAAATAGAAATAAAATTCATCATTAATATTAAAATATACTAATAAAAACTTAATATGTATAACGAAAAAAAAATAAACTCTCTTTTATTTGCACAAATTTTTTTTTAACATTTAATGTTTAAAAATTGCATTATTAAAAATCAATCTTTAAACATTTTTTTTCACTTATTATCTAGGAAAAATTATAAATTTTACAATTAAGTTTGTCTTTTCCAAAAAAACCAAACCTGAGCATAATATCATTGAGTTGCAATCGATGCATTTATACTTTTGTACATCGATAGAGCAATTCAAGTATTTTAATTAAAGAATTAAATTAATATCATGCGATGGGCAGATGCAATCTACAGTCCTCGTGGGTGAATCGAGGCGTGATCGACAGTGACAATGCTATCACTTTCCATTCTGCGCATCTCTTGTGTGTGTTATCGAGCATTAAAATCTCGTCCGCAACGAGACAAAGGCCAGCGCAAAACGGACGAATTACATACTCGAATGTCTCTCTCTCTTTCTTTCATTTCGGTGGGGTGAATACATTAAATTAATTTGTGCATGCCCGTGTGTGTATGGATAGCTCAAACACCTGATTATGCGATCATCGCCGCACAAAAACCTGCCGCAAATAAGGGAGGGAGGGGGGAGAGGACGCGGGGCCGCCGCGTGTGTTTTGCTTTGATTTTCAATAAAAGAGCGATTAAAAGAGCCGCAGCGCTCAAGGGTTGTTGCTTGGGGTGGCATTTATTTAACTATTTAGCCCTCAGCATATGCGCCACTCGACGCTCTAGAGGACCCGATTTGCGCTCACAGTGAGTGGGTCCACTTTTGGGGCATCGTTTTCATTATTGCTGTCATTCGTTTTATTGTTCGATGTAAGAGATGCTTCACTTTTCCAATTAAAATTTCATTTGGGATTAAAATTTATAAATTTACCCCAGTAGAAAATTAACTCTTTTGTTAAACTTTTGGTTCATAATTCTTTAAGATTTGTTTTTGAAGGTAATCCGCCAGTTATAACACAAAGTTTTAAATAATTTCATTCAAATTAATAATTTAATTTATATTACTTCTGATTAAAAAAATCTGAAGAAAATATTTTGTTCAGTTGTTTTTAATATATCTGTCAACAATTAATTTGATAAATTTGATATAATTATTGCAATTTTGTTATCCTTAAGGGCGATCAAACAGCCTTTCCTGGCCCAGTTAACCTCCCATGCAATTTAAATGGCGGGCTAGGCTACCCTGGGCAAGATTAGGCTATTTAATTACTTTCATTATTTTTATTACCAAAACATTTATAATTATTTTCCTTATAATTTTTTTTACAATTATTATTTATATTTAAAATTAAACATTTTTCTGACTTATTAGCTCTATATATTTTTTAATTTTTTTTTAATTCTTAATTATTATGTAATTAGATGTTTTTTTTTCCAGTTTGCTGTGCAAGAAACGATGCTCTTTGTGCCAAAATGTCAATGTTTGCGACGCACTCGCGGCCTTTCGGTCCATTAGCATCACGTGTTACGATTCACAGGGCCCGAGGGGTGGATTTAGTTGCACCCCGGCAGCACCTGTTTCCAACCCTGCAGCGGATCATCCCTGGCCCACTTCTTATTTACCCTCTCGTCGCCCGCCCGCCCCCGGTGCCGCACCAAGTGCAGCTGTTGAAAATTATAAATCTGACGAGCCGCACGTCGGGTAAATTATGATTGCGCAATATAATATAGTTCATCGCGGAGGGAAATTTCAACCGCAGCTAATCGCCGCGATTTTACGATTTTATAATCAAATGCAGAGTTTAATTTATGGGGTGGCTGATGGACTAACAATAAGTTGTTTTAGATTGAAATGCAAAATGCAAATAATACTCTTATTGCTAGTTACTTTTAAAGCAATTTGATTTGAGAAAAATCCAGACTTACTTCTAGCTGTTTTCTTCGTCGTCGTCATCACCAGATTTTGGCTGCTCCTCTTCGTCCACCTCGTCACCGAGAGCTCGCCGGAGCTCAGCGCGAGTTTCAAGCACTTCTTTCACAATATCTGTAAGAACGCAAAATATAAACTAAATTCAAATTAAACTTATTGATAATTAATAAAATTTTGTAAAAAGTACAAGACTTTCCTTATCAATTTATTTGAAAAAAAGACCATAAAATTCTCTTGCACAAAACATATAAAAAAAACACACATAATTTGACATTTGTTTATTGATAAATCAGATAATTATTTTTTGATTCATTTCTCTCGATTTCAAAATTGGGAAATTTTCAATGCTACCAGTTTGTTGTGTTGCAACCTTAGAATCCTTACAATTAGATGTATTTTTTCACGTTTTAGAACCGCTCAGAAAAAAACCCCTTTAAAATTCACTAGAATAATACTCGTCACAATTTTTTTGTTCTATTAATTTAAAATAATAATAAAATGCAAACATTAATTTCTTTGCCATTTTGAGTAAAATTTTCTGTTGTGCGTTGGTTGTTCGTATGTACCTTTGCACATTTTGAGTCGCTCGCACACCCATAAGGGTGAATGGTACATCATTATTAATGTAATGATCTATCATTTTGAATTATATTTAAAAGTATTAATGAATTATTTTAATCTAATATCACATAAAGAGACAATACAAACACAGATCTCAATGACATCAATTTCTATTATACCAGATTTTCTATCCTCTTGAGGCGATGTTTGGTTAAATTTATAATAATTTCTTAGTATCAATTTTTTAATTGCACTTAAACTTATGAAACACAGGTCATAAAAAAATTATGTTGAATGAAATTTCTTAAAGTAAATAATACAATTAATAGTTAATTATAAATTATAACAATTCACTATAATCATTTTAAATTATAATCCATAACTAAGGGCATTATAATTTATGATTAAAATTGGCAATAAATAATTTATAAAATACTTTTATACTCTTTTAAAATTATTATTAATAATCAAACCTGTGCACGTTTATTGTGTTGATATATTATAAAACTGTTTTTTCCATTATGTATTTTCACATTACAGTATTTCGTATCTCTATATCTTTAAGCGAACACCCCCGCTATCTCGCTGTTGCGTTAGATCAGTGTCGATAAGCAAGGGTGCGCGAGATCTGCGATGCAGATCAGCCGAGCCGAGAGGGTCGTGCGTCACGCACGTGGCCCTGCACTTGACTTTGCTCCTGCGGCACAAAACGCGGGGCCACGTGCCGCATTGATTTTTGAGTGGAATTTTGATGCACGAGGGGGCCAACGAACTCATTTCCGAATGCAAACAAGAATTAGTTCGATCGGTCTTACCTGAAATCACGTGCCGACTCGTGATCATCGTCTTCATTTCCTGAGCCACCTCCTCAACCAACCAAGGCATCACACCAGTACCAGTCTCAACCTCTGCAAAACACAAAATTTCCAAATTTATTCATCGGATGAAATATTATATGAAAACATTTCTAAATGAATAAAAAAAATTGAAATTGAATAAAAAATTGTAATGAGAGCTCTTCTTCAAAATCTATACTTTTTTTTTTTAAATTTGGACTATTTCAACAAAATTTGATGATTTTTTTTACTCTCTTTGGTCTTCAAATTCAAATTACATGACTTGAGCTTATTTTATTCCAATTTAGGTTAAAAGTCTACGAACTGCAGAAAAAAAGCAGTCAATTAAAATATGCTTTAGTTTGTTTTTTCAAAAAGTTTGGAATTAGTAAAAAAAAAAACATGAATAACAACAGGAAATTTAAAAAAAATTAATATTTTTTTAATATTTAATTTTAGAGCTAACCTTTCTGCACGGGTGCAGGAATTTGGCCAGCCTCTGCCAAACCCTCGAGCACCGAGGGCAGAAGTTCCTCCAGCATGGCCTGGCTCAGGGCTAGAGCGGCGGCCCGTTCCTCAGCCTTTTTCTGCTCTTGGTAGGCCTGTTCCTGCTCCATGGTGCGCACCTCCTGCAAATTTCGGTTTGATCCAAACTGACAATGGCAAAGCAAACAAAAACTGACCTTCTCCTTCTGCAGACGGAACTCGCGCTCCTGCACCCGACGCGCCTCGGCCCATTCGGCGAGGCGAAGTTCGTGGAGGCGACGCTGCTGGGCCCTGAGAGCCGCGACCTCCTCCTCCTGCAGCACCTCGGAGAGCGCCTGTTCCAGGGCACGACCCACCACGCCGCCCACCACGGGCTGGCTGTCGTTCTCAAAGTCAAACAGCTTGAATGAAACAAATAATTATAATTTTGGTAAAAAAATGAAAGTTAATATTGATGATTCTATTTTATGAGGTAATTTTTCTGTTTGTCGAAATGACAATTTTTGATTTCTCTGAAATTAAAACATTGATAGTTTAAATTTAAATTGACATTTTAAACAGAATGAAAGTAAAAATAAAATTTAAACTTGCAGTTTACATGATAAATTAAAGGATTAAATTAAGAGTTTTCCCAAACTTCGTCACATTTTAATGAGGTTTTGTCATTGAGAACTAAATTTTAAAGCAATAATAAAGACTCACCTCGCCGGGCCAAACTTGCGTGTATTGGTCAGTTCCGTGCTTGATTGGCACGTATGGGGGAGATCTGGGTCTTTCCCAGGCCGATTCTGTTTGGCAAGAGGCTTCGAGCTCCCTTGGTCTTTCAATTATCTATGATTAAAAATTTAAAATAAATTAATCGATAATTGGGTTGAAACTCAGCACCTCTTCTAGATTAAGGTCAGTCTGTATGTTGGTATGGTGTCTGCCATCCACAGGGGGCGGTGTGCCCAACTTTCTGAAAGCCTTGGAAGGCCGCACCCTTCTCCTGGCCGCAGCCCGCCTTCGAGATTCCTCCAGTCGCTCAGCAGGCTGAAAATTTACCAAAACGATTTGGGCTAGACTTAAGTGTGCTGTGAAAATTTGTAAAAGCACATTTAAAAAATTTCGCCAGGAGAGAAGTGTTTTTGTATTCATATTTTGAGCAGAATTATTTTATGACTTGTGAAAAAGTTTTTTTTTTAATCAAATTTTTGAATTAAAATATAAAAATTCATTTATTAGAAGCTACTATTTTCATATCATAAAATAATCGAAATTAACATTCTGATTTTCTAACATTCCATTTAAAGACTAGAATAAATTAATAATTGAAAAATAGTTGAATCAGAATTGCGGAATTGAATTTCAAAATTGAATTTGGAGTGATTTAATCAATTTAAAACAAATATCAGAAAGATTTTTCCACAGCCTATGTGTATGTTGTGTTGTTTTTAAGGATTGTTCTCAGGAAACGGGGTTAATTATAGTGTGTCCTTGGTTAAAACAAGTGAAAGCTACATCTACATCAAGCAATAAATTTAAAAACATGCATTTTTTTTTAAATCTTTTATTTTACCTGTGGTTGGGATAATAATTTGGCGTACCCAAAGTATGGGTTCCATTTGGGTTGATGCTGCGTGTAAGAATTGATCGATAGTTGATCATCCTTGAAAAAATATGTACAAAAATCTCAAAAAATCTATTCCAAGCTCAATTCTCTCGCGTGAGATTAGCGGCGACAGTAAAAATAATAATTCTCGATAACATTCCAAATTTGGTCTATTTGCTAAAGGTGGCGATCGTTATCTCAAATTGTTGTAAATTTACATGTTGGTAATTAGCGCGAGCCAGAAAAAGATCAAATATTGTGTGAGATGGCTGCGCCGCGATAGCTCTCTAATGTGACTTATTTACACACAGAATGGACATCGACGCGAGAATATTGATCTCGTCCAGGCTGACCACTACTAATTGTAAATGTGTCTAATAAAAAACAACCCACTACAAGCACTGTCTGGTCGACAGGGCCTACGTTTAGGGTCGATGAACTACGCTACGTCAACTCATTCTTCCTCAAAGATAATTTGCATGAACAACCACTTTTATCAAGATGGGAAAAGAAGAAGTATATAGTGGTGTGGTTGGAAAAGAGTTTAAGTAAGAAGGATCAATGGCGAGACGTGTAATCTAAAAAAATTAATAAAAGCTGAGGAAAACCAAAAATATTTTTAAAACAGAAGGTTTTTCATTTTTCAGTAATTATTATTTAATTATATTTATAATATTAGCTTTTAAATGAATTTAGTATAATTTTAAACATGCCATGAAGGAGCTTTGCATGATTATTAAGTATGAAGTGATGTTATGTATTATGTATTAAAGAAATTACGACTGAAAATGGATTGAAATTTTTTCTTGCTGGTTTATTATCGTAATTTGGTTGAGGAAATAATTATTTTTCACTTAAAGACTTAAAGAAAACATAATTATTTAGGGTTATTAAAATAAGATAGGAAACATTATTGAGAAAACGCTTAACTTTAAAGCTCTTTAAGATTTGATTTCTAACATTATACTGCTTTCGTCATTATTAATTTGCTCATAAGCTTTAATTCCACTACAGAAATAAGTTAGGAAGGAAAATAAAAATAAGTTCAGTTTCATCAAACCTCTGCACAAAAGATCGAAATTCAACTGAATTTACGAAGCAAACTTCTAAACTCTGCTCTACCTCAAAAAAGAAAGTCACACTTTTTAAGCGAGATACTCACGGTCTGTGTGGGGTGCTGCGTGAAGTTGGAGCCTCTGACCACCCTCTTGTCGTACATGATGTTGCCGTAGGGGTTGGGTCCGCCGTCCTGCCTGCAACACCAAGGTCACAGGTCACTCGCGCAGGTCCGTTTCAAATTGACCGGGTGGAGAGGGCGGCCGTTTTTATTTTTTTTTTTTTAAGGCCGCCGCATCTCATTAACCAAATAATCTCAAGTAACACACACGCTCTGCCTTTCGTACTCATACGAGTGCCGACTTCGTTATTAAAACGAGATAAGCGAGAAATAAGAAAAGACACAATCACGAATGCAATGCATGAAAATTTAAGTCGGCGGGGATTATACACCGGGCCAGCAGCAATAATTCAAATCGCGTGTCCGACCGAAAACACATACACTAATGATGAAAGTCGTGGCCGCCGCCGCCGCCATCGAGTGGTTATTTTCGTTTCGCAGGAAACGACTGGCCCAAGTGACGTGAGAGCGAGGATGTGAGGCGTGTATGATTTCGGTAATGCAATAAATTACAATTGCAGCACTTTTTTACAACACGCTAATCTCATGCTGCGTGCAAATGGCGTAGAATGATAATTGAAGAGCAGATATATATTTATGTAATTACGAAAATCGAAAAGCCTAAACTTGCCCAGGCTATTAAGTTAATAGTTAGTCCACCTTTCAAATTAAATATCTAATTGCTTTCGCAGGAGAAGTAAGCCTGGGCCAAGTTAGGTTCTTTGATCGCCCTCAATGATTATTTAATTATAGATACAATCATAAAATAATTAAAATTGACAGTCCATATCAGAAGAATCCCCTCAAAAATTCATGAGAATATGAATCATCTTCATGTACTATTGATTACAATTTATATAATATTATAAATAATTTATACATTATTAGTAAAAAGTATGCAGTATCAATGGTTAATCATATTTTTAAAATTTATAAAAATACAATATAAAGCTAAAAAATAATTAAAATATTAATTTTACATATAATAAAAAATTTCATTAAATGAATTTTTTAAATCTTACAAGACAATTAATTTGATAAATATTTATTTTATTACGCTTAATTTAAACGTTAAATTATTTAAACACAAATTAATTCGGTAATAAAAATTATTTCAGAAAAATTTATTCGAAATTATAATTATGGCTATTGATTATTTTTATTTCTTTGACTTTTTTTTTAGGGTCAGGCCAAGACAAAGTCTTGTCGGCTTGTGCCCCTTATTGGTGGTACAGAAGGCACTACCCAATTTATTTTTTTATTATTATTGGGTTCAACTTTATTTTGCCAGCAGTGAATAATTTTTTCTCAACCAACTCATCGAGGATAAGCTGAACTTAAATTCAAGAAACATGAATTCCACCAAGATTTCTAACCTCCCATCTCAAATTTTAAATGGTTATTATAAATTTAGTTTATTTCCAAATTATGGGCAATCAAATTTAATAGAATATGCAACCGGCTTGTCAAGCATGTTTCCCAGGCTGCATACTTCAAATTTAGCAGGCGGGAAATTTAGAGTTTTTCAGTTGTATAATTTTTTGTGTGCATATTGCTTGGTGAGTTTGCACTGCGGAAAATGAGAAAGTCATGCGGGAAATCGAGTTGTTGCGAGAAGGAACTGCGTTGAATAAATGTATGGATCTGGGACATTCACCTCTAGCGACGGCCAGCGTTGTGGTCAATACATTATTATCCAGGCGCTCGTGTTTGTTTTAGCGAATTGTATGGCCGGTAAGGATTGAGCAAAGAAGAGAGCAAAAGTCTATTCGTGGAGAAGCCAATAGTCGGACAAATCGATGGATTGGCAATCAAATATATGAAATATTCAAGAAGCTGATAAGTGGCAAGGCGACTATTGAACTTGGAATATAATCAGAAAATTTACTTCTAAGAAGCAATTTACTCACAATTAAATGCGAGCACAAGTTCGGAAGTTTTTTTACGTAATAAAATGAAATTGAGTGCCAATTTTTGCATTTACATAAATCCACAAGCAAATTATTCCGGGCACAAGAGGGTCGAATTTAATACAGGAAATGAATTATGAAATTTAATGCCTTTGAAAAATGTAAACAGCCAAATTATATACGGAGCCTCGATGTTATCGCACACTTCCGTCGTCGGCCGGAATTAATTTTTTCCGTGTTGCAATGCGCATAAAAATGTATTCAAATTAATGTTTGTGAAACCCCTGGAGTGTCACACATTTAGAAAGAATACACTATGCCGGGATTTCGTGACAGAAAAGTCCAATGCGAGGTGCAACCGTCGGGCGTTAAATGATAGGAGGAAAAAAATATTATGCTCTCCCCAGCCAGGGAAATGGTATGCATCTGGGGCGGCGAGGCCTTGCGGCACGAAACGGACCATTCGAACCCCCTTTGGACTTTCCACACAAGAAGTGCGCATCACGATTCGCAGCCTCAAAAGATTGGGATCTGGACAAGTGGGTCAAGATTTTCAGAACAGGATGAACATGCTGGACGAATAAATTAGCGATCACCTTGAACTTACGACTCAACAGTGACCCTAATGAGACGCACAAATTTGTCAGAGTGATTCAAGATTAGATCTTAATTGAAGTTAGAGAGTGTTGATTATCTTTGTAATTCTTGTCGAAAAAATTAATAAAACTCTATGAAATTCTTCCAATAAAGACACTTTGCAACTAAATATGCACAAAGAGACATTTAAGTTTGAAATTTACGTAAAATGTGTCAAAGAAATTTGGTTTTGCTCATTTATTATAAACTGAAGGTTTTAATGAATCCTTATTTGCACACTCAAATCAATTCTAAAATAAAAGTGGTTAAAATTTCAATTATCTTCTAATAATTGGAAAAATTTGCATCTATTGTAGAAAGCATTTCTTAAAAGCAACAATTTTCTTAAATTATATCTTTCAAATATCTAGTCAATCTATTATTATTGAAAATTAAAATTTAAAAATAAAAAAATTATTTCTAAAGATTTGAATAAAAATTAGAATAATGTGGCGCTACAATCGAACAGGCACGTTTTCAGTCAATTTTCAGTCAGGCCGCCATTTTATAAACCTCAGTGACCTGAAATTTCAAGTAAAGCTAATTAATTTCAAACTTACTGATTGGATTCGTTGCTGATGATGGATCTTTTGCTGCGCAAACTATTTTCGTTTGTCTGCAAAAAGGTTTTGTTGTTTGCTTGGTAGTAATTGAAATTGTTCAGACTGCTGTTGTTGTTATTATTGGCGAACTTGAGGTTCTCCTTTGACCTGACTTTGACCGCCGGTTGCATGACCCTGGGCCTGCTGCAGTACGAGTAGACCAGCACCTGAGAGCCGCCGTGGCTGTTCTTCAGGTAGTAGTTGGTCTTCTCAGGTGGGTCCAGGAATTTGCCACTTTTGACCACCGTGATGAAGGGTTTCTTCGAGCCCTGACCCTGCGACCCTGAGCCCTGGCTGTTGGACGGCGACAGGGCCGGTTCGAGCAGTTCCTCCAGGGTGCACCTTTTGTGATAGACGCTCTGGCGCTTCTCGCCCTGAAGGTTGCTGCGTTTGCTGAAGCGTTTGTTGTTGGCGCCAGGGTAGCTCAGGTCGTTCTGCGCCAGGTGTGGCATGCTAATGTCGATTTGCACGGTCAGCTCCTGCTGACCGGCGGCGGCCTCGGTCACATACATGGCGCCACCACCTTGGTGCCTCCGACACCAACTGACCGCTGGCCGGCCCAACGCGCCTCTCGTGCCGCGGCAGACACGCCTGCGCCCCTTTTATCTCAGGGTGCGGATCGCTTCTTGTTCTTTATTGCTCCGGGAAAAAATAGCAGAGCCTTTCCGCCCCGCGATAAAGTGCATTTTCTGTTTCGTGTCGCCTTTGTGCACATGAACGCTTGCATGAGGATTTTGACCTTGAATGAAGCTGCGGGAACCATTTTTTGGAACTTGAAAAACGAGCAAAAATTTAAATAAGATAATTATTTCAAAGCCAATTAAATTAAACACCACAAACTGTTTTCCCAAGTTTCTAATTCAAAAGAAAAATTTGTTAAAAGATTTATTGTACAACTATAAAGCTGGAATAAAAAAAACGGGTGTTAAATTTGGTTTAAATTCTTGCAAAATTGGTTTTTATCAGGCTCATTTATGGAAAACTAATTTAAAACATTGTATCTGATCTTTTATTAGATTATTTAGATAAATGAGTTGAGTTGAATCTTTGAATCAATAGAACTAACTTTAGCATAACATGTGTTAAATAAGCACCATCTGCAAATTTCTTCAAAATTATACTATACAGGATTCAAAATGTTGTTTGAAATAGATAATGTCTTGTCTGAAGTCTGACAATGAGTCTATAATGAATATAATGAATTTATAATTTCAATGCAATGAGTTTCATACTAAAATTGTAATCAAGCAATTAATAAAAGTAATACAGAACCTATTAACATCATTTCAATCATTTGCTAAATGTGTTTAATGTTATAAACTGCCAAACGTTAAGTTTGTAATATATAATATTATATATTATTTTATCACATACAATAATTTACTTAAAGCAATATATTACACAGCCCTAGGTGATTTTTAATATAAAAATCTAATAAAGTAAATATCTCATAAAATATAATTTTAAATGAAAATATAGTTTAAAAAAGATAAAATAATAAAAAAAGTCATATAAAATAATACAATTGACAATTTTTTTTTGATAATATTGGGGAACATTCGCCACAGATATCCTCCCCGGCTAGCTATACTTATAACATGGTTATCCCTGGAGGATATCTCTAGTGAATGTCCCCCATTAATATTCGCGCATCACAACAATGGAACACATATATATTGTTGTTTCAGCCTCCTGATTGGTGGAAACGCTTTTTTAAGCCAATCAGAACGCTCGGCAACAATAAAAATTTGCTCTAATTGTTGTGATGCGCGGACCTTGCATAATATTACCACATTAATATTTCAATAAATCGAAAATTAACATGATACATCAGAGATTTCATGAAAAAGTTGATATTATGGGCTAATTCCGCAGAAAATGTTTAAAAATGAAGTCAGAGCTACACAATTTATGTTTATAAATATATAAATAGATTTAGTTACTTTTTAATAAATAACAGTGCATTATGAGTTTGTCGCAGTTGCCAATCCTTCTCATAAATGACATTATTTTATAATTAATATGATTATTTATTAATGTTTAAATTTGAATATTCTGAAGAACATTAATTAGCTATTAAAACCAAAACCAAAATTTGAACGTGCTAATTGAATTAAGGGCAAGGTTCATTACTGACCAGACGGTCACGAGCAATTGCCATCGTGTCCAGAAGCATGACAATTTGAAATTCAAAGCGTGTCCAGAACGGCGGACGAAAGAATAAAATCAATGGCCCAAATGCATAGTTGACGACTACACATTTTGTTCGCGCAGAAAAAGTCCCCGGAAACAATTTGGCGGACAAAGAGAGAGCATTGAAAGTGAGACTGCACAGGTGCAATGCTCCGGAGGAATAATTTATAGAATTATCGACGCGCGCGATGTAAATTTGTTTGCGTCCGGAGCGGCGAGTGAATTATAAAGATTGTGACGTCACCGCCAAGTGGTCAGCGAAATTATTGAGTGAGTGTTCACATACAGGGTTGAAGCGAGTGTGTATGCATATTTTAAGTGCCCTCAAGGTGACCTCCGTCCGATTTTCTCACTACCGAGGCACGAACCCAGACTGGGTAACAAAAGGGCGAAAAATGAGCGATGCTATCGCACGCCAGACTGATATAAACTCACGTCATGCCGCGAGAGCTAAACATAATTAAAACTCGCGAAATGCAAATTACGACGACGTCACACTGCGACTAACATTTTTTTGCCTCTGGTTCTTTGGACAAAACGAAATGGCTTTCAAAAGGCTTAAATGAGAAATTGTCACAGGGTTCAAAATTAAAAATTATATATTTTTTCAATTATTTTGGAGCTAAAATAATTAAATTTTGAGTTGATTGATTGACAGATACCAATTCAAATAAATATTTTGGTTCAATAAGTGGCTCAATATGTATTTGATTTTTTTATGGAGTCAAATAAATATGACAATTTCAGCAGAAAATAAAAAAATTAGATTGTTTAAACAATCTGCACGACCATCCTTAAATTTCTTTTGAGTCAGTTCTACTTATTTCTAGACACGCTTTCTGAGCATAGAGATTTTATCCTCTCACCTTCAAACAAACAGAAAAATAACTTTTATTTAGAAATAGAAAATCGACTAAACGAATCTTATTTAGCAAAATGATTTTATTATTATACCCAGCCAAATCCACTATAACTCTCATCCCTGGAGATTGATCTCAGATAATTTGCTGGGCGAAAAGAATCAGCGGGATATGCCATAAAAATATGGTCGTGCAGCCTCACAATAATTTATAAGCGCAGCTGCAGCTGCTGAAAAAGTCAGCAGTACATAATATCGATCAAACGTCTGATAAATAATGCTAGCAATATTGCAAGCATCAGATGACATTTTATGTTGATGAATTTTGTTTTGCAAAGAAATTATTTAACAAAATTTGAAATTTGTTCTTTTTGCGAATTGTCTTCATATTTTCATTTTATAACAGGAAAAAACAACGTCAAACATTTTGCACTCCTTTTTCGTCAAACTTAAGTCGAGGCGTAATATTCGAACCGGGAAAAGCATTTAACTTTTTGTATACACATATTAAACTTTCAGCTTGTTCAATTGATTTCGAGCGCTAATAAATTCTATACAAATGACTACAAAGCTTAATTCTGTCTGAGGAGATTAAAACCGTTGGGTTAAAAAAACACAAAAATTTTATTAAATAAAATAAAATTTAAATACTTATTCGTTTTACAGTCTCACTAGTTGAAAAATCAACTGCAACAAATTCATAAGAATCTTGCTGACAATCTTGATTACCATGGCTACTTTATTTTGTGGCTTTCGTGCTCGTAGAGTTTGGACGACGCTGGCCAGCTCGGATTTTATTCATGAAGCTCTGAGACCATCCATTATTCTAATAGTGGTCGCTGCTTATCAATTCCGAACTTGGGTCTTGACCTTTGATGTTATTTTTTCCTTTTCCGTTTCTGGAAAAGTGTAAACCTATACTACTGTGGACATTGGGTGACGTAATTCTATGAAAGCCTCTTATAAACTTGCGTGTATTTTCTTTAATAATTCAAAGTGGATTCGATGAATTAATTGTTATAATTTAACATTGGATTGTTTGAGAGAAGAGCAATTGCAAAATTTAGTGTGACAATGAGCTTCTGGCAGAGCGAAGCAAGCCATCGTGTAATCCATATGCAACCGGGCAAGCTCAGGCGCTGTACAGGTTGCATCACTTCACGTCTAGTACTTTAAAAAGCTGTTTTTTTATAAGAAAAAGTCTCTTTAATTTTCTATATTTAAGTTAAAAACCGTTAGAAATTAAATTACTGTAGAAATATTAAAAAAAATCAAAATGCAGCGCTCTAAGAGTATATAAAATTCTCACAAGAAGTATGAAAAAATAAAATCATATTCAATACATAAACAACAAACGTTTGAGACATTCACTTCGAATCACTTAATAAAACATCACCTAGCTTACAAGACAATTAGCGTATGTGAGAAGTGGTCGGTCGCAATTTCTGCCATGCAAAATTTATTAATCCACTTTATTACATCTGAATTCTGAATTAAGAAGACGATAAAGAGTGACAACTGAGCATCATTATTTGAAAATCAATTTTCAATTTAGCTTAGAAATTAATGAAACAAAATTATATTAATTTTCACAAACATCTTATAATAATAATTTCATTAATTTCCCAAGAAGTTCCTTTTTTTCGCATGTTTCCGTGTTGAAAAATTTGCATGTTTTTTTTCTGTCATTTAATGAATGAATTTCTGTCATTTAATAAAAACACTTTTTTCAAAGAGTATAGCAAAAATCAAATCAAGGATATTTTATACTGTTATTTAATTGTAGTCAATAAGAAGAAACTAATACTCTCTCTCAATTAATTGCAAGAAGTGATACAAATGATTGAAGGAAACCAGGTTAAGAACCGATGTTACGTGTGCTTTTTAGAATTAAACTAGGAATGTAGCACATCGATTCATTTAAATTGGGCGATGTGCTCCACTTTCTTGAACTTGCAATTAGGAAATGTGTCTTGCAGTGCGATAGAGAAAAGGAGCGGCGTATATAATTCATATTGAACAAGTGGAAATCAATTGAATGACAAAAGAGTTCTTCACCAGCCGCCAGACTTCATATTCATGAAGCCTCATTTCCCTTAAATCAATATTGATATCTCAACCGCCCTTTGACTTATCATAATTCGGAAAAAATCACAATAATTCCCACGTGCAACTTTCTAAACGTGCAAAGTCGTTAAAATAATTCTCGCGTTTATGACCAAATCCGATAAAAAGTGAGGGGCACTTTAAAATTCCACGAAATGAGTAATTAACATGTCCCGAGCAAGGTCATCGACGGGTCAAATAAAATGTCGCGATTAGCATGCAAAGCGTTTCAAGCATCTCACGTGCGGAGCGTTCAAAAAAGCTTGTGTGCAAATTGCGGGTGACCACCGAAGTGTGGTCGGCGAACAAACGCCGTTTATTTTATCTTGGCGCTCCACGCACGGGCCATAAAACGACCGCATCCACTA